CTTATTGACATCAGCCCTATTCCTAATACTGAGGGCTGTGCAGTATCCAGTAACAACACAGGTTCCTCAATATTTGGATTCCTAACCTAACCCTAACTGTTACCTTGTTATGAACACCTATGGACCACAGTCTCCTAATGTTCTTGGGCAGCAGCATGTGGTAAATAATACGGATCTTCATGCACATTGGTCATACCCGTACCTGCCCTATAGTAGAACAGAAAATAAGGTATCTTCAAATATTGCCAGCAGCAATTTGTGTTCTTCAAGGTCTACAGTTCCAAACCCTACAGCTAACTCTACTCCTCATTCTAACCTTCATCTTAGTAGTAACAAATGGTTCATACTTCCAAGAAAAGAGAGAATACTTTCACCCCCACCTTGTCAGGTCCTGCAGAACCCTTTAATGAAGGCAGCTTCCAGTGGTAAGTTCGGTTCCTGACATCCCCAAGTCTACTGTAAACTGAACCCTGACAGTTTCTCTACTTATAACCTGCTGCTCATTTCTATTGTAGCTTATAAAGCACTGGCTCCAACTGACACAAGCTTTTTTCCTAACTGCAGTCCTTACAACATCCTGCAATAATCCAGGTCCTTCAGGCTTTGAACTCCCAGTCCTGGCTCTAGCTGTAGCATCAGCATAATTATATCCAGAATACCATGCCTTCACAGAAAGATAATGTAAAGTATGGCCCCCATGTAAGACCCACTGATGTCCTAAATCTGCAAGCCCTAGAGCATTCAGCAATAATCATAGTTCCCTAAGGTTCGTATTTCTGAATCTTAACCGTGATCTTTACTTTAATCAAGGAATTAATCTCTACAGCTAAAGGACATAAAACGTATTGATGCTCTCACTCTTATCTTCCTGAGACCTATAGTCTCTTCATTCCCTTTAGATAGCTGTAGGGGATATAGCAATGTAATTCTGCTTTGAAGATCCAGTTAGATGGCATTCTTCTCCTTGTATAAGTGTTTTGAATTACTTTCCTACTCAGAGTTTTCATCAGTTCCTGGTTATTGGCAGGTGGCTTTTTTGGCACTCAATTCTTCTTCCTCCCTTTTCTGCAGACCTTGAGTCTGTACTTGTCAATAAATAAATAAGGTGGCAACCAGGCAGGCTCCTGCGGCTTGTGCCCTTTAAGCAAGGTTTGGGGAGAGTGCAGCATCGAGGGAAAATGTTGTAGCCTCTCCAGCTGCTGCCACTTTGGAGAAGTGCCTGCTTGCGGACCCTTCTGTGAGCCTTCCTCCCATCCCCATCTCCTTTTCTGTCCTCTCCAGCCTCTTCTCAGACAGCAGGGCAGTACCTACCCAGCCATTAGCAGGATCAGGGGAGCAGGCTGCCTTTGCCCCGCCTGTACTGTGTCGGGGGGAAAGTGATACTGGCAGCAGCTGAAGGTACAGCAGAAGAGACTGCCGGCTGTCTTCATCTCCAGATGGGAGGGAGGGAGAGAGAGAGCAGAGAGCCTAGTTGGGTTAGGAAAATGCTCTCCCTCCGGACATGTTAGTCCAGGCGGGGCCCTGTGCAAACAGTTAATCATCTCGCAGTGTCTCATTTGTACAGGTCTGCACTGCGCAGTGTTTGACGTGATCATAAAAGAGAAGACACAGTTGCTCCGTGTGCTGTGCAAGCCGCTCTCAGTACCTACCTTCACTTTCACCTCCTTGCAATGTGACTTTAAGCCTTCCTTCAGCCCAGCTGTTTATTACCCCAGGCACTCCTGGCACATCTCCGAGACCTTACTAAGACCAGAGTTTTGCACAATACTACACCCGCAATCCCTCCTCCCTCCTGTATCCTAAATTTGACAGTAACGCACAGCTCAGGTCTTTCAAGCACCTAGTTTCAGGGGAGATCCCAAACCTGCTATATTCCTTCCCAGAATCTCAGGCCAAGTGCCCCTGCAGCTCTGTCTCCTTCATTAAGCTCAAATGTTGTGTGAGCTTTGAGACTGTTAAGTGTATAGGAAAGTGTAGTCTGACCTCTTGCTTAGAAATAAAATGAATGTGGTACCAATTCACCCAGGTTTGTGCTCTGTTAGACCCATTCTGTAGCTTAAACTGACATCAGCTCGCGGAGCGGTGAGCTGAGCCCAAAGCTGTGTCTCCTTTGTAACTTCATCTTAAAAAGTTTTCCCGAGGAGACAATATCTGCACTCATGCTCTTTGTTTCTCTCTTTTTGCAAATTCTTCTCCTTCCTCAGTAACTTCTACATCCTTTGTCCAATTCCAATGGTATTTGACAGCAGGAGAGAGATAATTAAGTTTCACAACAACTGGTCTCTGGGTAGAGGAGCCCCAAATCGGTCTCAGTTGAGGAAACCCTCCAACAGTTCCCTGTTCGATCTTGCCTGCCAGCTGCCTTTGTGGTACACGTGTGCTTTGGAGTCAGACACAGCACATGCTGCCTCGTCTCCAGCGCGGTGTTCTCAGGAAACCATTCCTTCACTCAGTTGCCCTGGCAGGCTCGAAATACTTAAATCTGACAGCAATGAGTCTTGCAAAGACGGAGGTGTAAAGATGAAATTTCAGGTGTTCCACAGCACTTTGGAAAGTTACTACCTTACAAACCATTAACTGCATGTAATGTTTTAGTAATCGTGGCTAAGACACTTCTGCTTTACGGGAGGCAAGTCGTCTTACCCGGTAGCTCCAAGGACCAGCTGTAAGGGGGTACAGAATTGCACCCATCATACCAGAAGATGGGGCTAGTGGAATGGCAGACGGGAAGCACGGGTGGATGCCAGCAGAAGGGCACTGCTGTCACACCCGCAACACTCCACCAAAGGCCTTCTCCAGTAGCTGGAGGGGAACAAGGTTCCTGCCAAACATCCAGCTGCACACAGGCTCCAATGCAGTCAGACACAGGTATCTCACCTGCTTCCAGAGGAGATGAAATGACCTAGCGGGGAAGTTACATCAGCTCAAACACAGGCTCCTGGAGCATCTTTCAAATGACTCTTACTACCCTCTAGTAGACCCTCATGTGAGATACGTCATCACACTCTGCTGAATGCTTTGAAGCAAAGGGAAGATCCAGTCAGACACATTTTTAACGTGTACTGGAGTATAGGCTTGCACTACAGAGACACGTGCTTTGTCTTCTGCTTTAGCAGTCAGTTTTGCAGAGAAAAGTCTGCTGGCTGTTTATTTCCTTGAATGGTGAATTTGGAACAGAGATGACCAGATCTGAGAGGTGCTGCTCAGCCCCAGGTGATGGCCACAGTAAGTCTGATATAAGAGATGAAGGGTGTGCAGCACTAATGAAGCATGGAGGGGACAGGGTCCTTTTACCTCCACGCTCAGTATGCCCCTGTGGACGCTGGCCATCGGTTAGCCAAGACAAACATGGACAATTCATTAGATATTTGTGTTTTAAGATGCAGAATCATACTCTTTCCTCCGTCCAAGAGATTAGAAACTTCTGCCCTCCAAAGACACTATGCATGGGTATTTCTAAACACACTGCTTTGTACTGTCATTGAATCCTTACAGTGGGGCACATGTTGAAGACCCCAGACTGTGAGACATGTCAGAGCTATCAGTTTGCTCGTGGTTGAGGGAAAGGGAGAACCAGAAGTAGAACAGCTTGTTTGTCTTCCTGCAAAAATAAAAAATGGTACTAAAATACTGTTCTTGCCTTAAAAAAAAAAACTCATTACTGAACTGACCACAAAAAATAAAGAAAATCATTAGTCAGATGTCTGCGTTCAAGGGAGTGGAAAAGTGCTCTGATGGCATTGATTCTTGGAAATTGATTGGATTGATATTGCGATTCGTTGCTTGCTTGAAGTTTTACACAGAGGTGGTTCAGGCTGGTCGCAGAAGATAAATGTGTGCATAGGCTTGGCTGTGGTAGTATGGGCATCCAAGTGCCAATCTGAAACTGCTGACATTCAGTAAAATTGTTCTAAGTTTTCCAAGTAGGAAAGTTTCCAGCAATGTCAGGATGGTAATTAGCGATTGATTTTCATTTGGCAGCTTGCCATGTGGTCAGAGTGACAGACATCAGAACTCTTTAACACATTTAATGGGATTTTTCCTTCCATTTACACTATCATAAATTACAAAGCATATCTCACTTCACAAAATAAAACCATTTCCAGATCATCTTTATGACAGTATTAAGTAGTACATAACCTACAACAAATAGTCCTGTACAAGGCAGGAGGATCTATGGAAGTATTGGGAACTCAGACTATTTAGCATTTGCTCTGCAATCTGGGTTAATCTATCTAGCCCTTAGTTATTTCTCTAGAAGATGACAAACTTACAGTCATACCCTCCACCTCCCTTCATTATCATAGTTACACATATTTTTCAATTTGAATAGAAACATGTGCTCCCTGAAATAATTCAGGAAACTGCATCACTGAGTTACCAAGCATATGATATAAACAATCAAGATGAGGGATTATTGTCATTTTTTTTGTATTGAAAATTGAGTTTGGTAGTAAAGTATGTTGATTTTCTATGCTTGCAGAAATGTCTCATGCTGAGAAACAGTTTTAACATTAGGAATAAGTTGCAGTTAGGCTATGAACTCTGTAGGTCAATGTTTGTGAGGGGAGAAAAATATTAAAATTTGGTAATAATTAAATTTACCAACTCCCACATTTCCTACACATTCTTTCTTTCTTTTTTTTTTTTTTTAAACAAACCATCAGGAAACACATTCAAGATAAATACCTACATTTTTAGCAGATTTACTGTACGTTTATAAACACAGAAACATGACAAAACATAACTCGATTTTTACAGAAAAACCAAATCCTTCATAATCAACCCAAAAAAGTGCTAACTTTTCAACAAGGCCAGAAAATATCCAGTGTCCCAGCATCACTTAACTTACATATTACTGTAATCCAAGAAAAATCTGGTATATGAAACTGATACTACCACCAGGACTTTTGAAAAATTCTCAATACCATATTTTACATGGGAGTGAAAAAAAAAAAAGGAAGAGAAAATACTATATGTTTTGGGAAATATCAAATGGCTAAAAGTGTACAATCTTAGGATGCTAGTGCCTAAATGCAAAGAAACCTAAGGAAAGCTGGAATACACACAAGAAAAGAATTCTCCTTTAAAACACTTGTAATGAAAGAGGTATGTCAGGATAATACTGCATTAGTGGTAATTGTTTTCAATATATCATAGCAAAAATGCAGGAAAAAATTATGTGGAAAATAATCAATGCACCGCATTGATTTATAGTTTGCTAAAATAAAATGCCATTCTTTCAGCTAGGTAAAGTAAAAATATCTTTATAATATAGGTTCTGTTTCACAATTGACATATATAATTATGTCTCATGGAGAGGGAAATGTATAGGCGTATACAAGAAACACTGATTAAGTACCTTTTTGCTTCTCTAGCCATATTAAAATATGTTTTGTGTTTCTTAATAAGTTAACAATAAAACTGCTTGCAACTTTTCAAAACAAATATACATCTGAGGCAAGGCAAAAGATACAAGGTAAGAGGATTTTTTCTGACCTTTTTTTTCCCTTCTACAAAGAGGCATATGTCTATGAGACATAGGCTTTCCCTAAACATTTTGGCATCCATCTGCAACTTTGCAGAAATTGAAGTGCAGTCAAGGAACTTTTCCTTTATGTTTAAAAAAATTCAAAGAAATGTTGTTTTTCCTTCAAACTAATTCTTTTAAAACAAATGGCTTTGAAGATATGCCTCTCTCCATCTAAAAGAGAACATCTTCATTTTCTATTAAAATCTGCACAATTAACTTCTGGTACCGCATGTCATTCAGTGTAGCAAGGGTACTGTCCTCTGGAGGTCTCATTAAAGTAGGCCCAAACACTATTCCCAGGTTTTCAGCATTCATAAAATTCTCCTTTTCATGCAAGGTAACCCTAAAATAGAAAAAAAAAAGGAAAAAAAAGTAAGTGGTTGTTTACTACCCAGAAGAAAAGAATATATGCATATCTGTAGCCCACTTCACATCAAGCATTGGTAGATAATGACATTTTTCAGTAACAATTTTTACTTTCAATCAATATAGTAACTGTTTCCACAGCAAGTACAATGCAACTACGGTGGGGCTGTGATTTGCAGTGCCTTTAAACACCCCTCATGCAACTCTTAAGTGAATTTTCCATGTGGCTATTCATTAGGGTATAAGAATTAGTGGCAATTGCTTTTCTGAAAAGCATAATGATGATTTAAATGATGATGTATGGAGCAGTCCTCTACTCTACAGTAACTACAGTTCTCTGGCATGTCGTACTTGGTGTGCATCACACCAGAGGTGTGGATGTGCTTCCCGAATATAAACCCAGATTTTTTTTGATTACCAGTAACCCCCATGCTTCCAGCCTGCAGGAAACAGTTCACGCATTTCTGCCTTGCTGGCTGCCTCAGGCCAACCAACAGCTGCGTGACTCTGGTTACTAGTTAAACTTTAGGAGCGTGCTGAATCCTGGGGCAGTCTGGAGAGGTGGCTTGCTAAAGTCTGACTGCTACAAATGCCATCTGTCCTTGACAGAGAACAGAAGCACTTCTAGGAAGGAGCCTGGGCTGTTTTGTTCCCTGCGCATATAATGTAAATACAAAAGAAGGTAGGCTATGTGTGGCTGGAGCAAACACACGCTGCCAAGGATGCAGAGAAGTCATCCCTTAGGCCTGCTGGAAAATGCAAGATGTGGTTAGGGTTTCCCTCCAGGTAATAGAGCTGGATCACATCAGTGTTGTCCCAGCAAGCCTTCGGCATTTGAGTTCGGTCCTGAGAGTGCTCTTGCACTGCAGTGTAGAGACAGCCATGGTCCCTTAATTGGTCACGGTCCCTTATGGACCAGACACTTGCTGTTACTAAGCAGAAGGTGAAGTTTCGTATCTCCTCCACACAAAACTCCTTTGCCAGGGTGGAGCACATCTGGTTTTGGAACCAGCTCTCCTGGCAACAGCTGAGACTGCCCCTGGCCATGGCAATTCCCAGCTGGGCAGCAGATTCACTCATGCCATCAGGGGAGCACAAAGACCCTGAAACCAGAAGTAATCTGGTCTTCCCTTGTTTGCAAGGTCCTTATATGACTAGGTTTTTCTTCTACTATTGGCTCTCTGCAAAGAGTGGCTCTGTCACAGAAAAACACTGTTCCTCTTTGCTTTCCATTAGTGCCCCTACTCGCAGATATGTCCTCATCTTCTAGCACAGATATGTTAGCTGTGCTTTGCAAGGAGAAAAGACAAACCAAGGCTGCCTAGCCCAAGCCACCTCTGTGCGAGTGTAACACTGCTTTCCATCTGCGGCTGTATGCCGCAGAGACGTTGAACAGCCATGCAATGCCACACACATCTTACTAGCACTTCTGTGCAGGAATGTCGGGCTTCTTGCATGGCCTGGGGTGAACACAGAGAAGATTCAGTTGCACAGCTTCACTGCAGCATCAGCACGGATGGAGTTGTATGTATTTCACCACGGGGGAGCTGCTCATGCTATTGTATTTCCTCCAATTTTGAGCAAAAAGTTATCAGAACGCATGTTCCATTTGACTGAAGAAAACAATTAATTAATTGACTGACAAGCTCATTTTTCATTGCTGATACTGTCCTCTGCTGGATTTTCCTGACTACACTACGTTATTATTTCAATGGAGGAGGAAGAAAGACAATAAAGACAATAAACGGATTCAGGGAAGGTAGCTCTAATTTTGCAAAAGCAATACAAAACTTACTCAACTTTGATTGACCTCAATTTAGTGTCCCTTCCATTTGATAAAGAAATATGAAGTGCTTTAAACAGCAGCTCAGTGCTGTTTCTTTTCTGTTGAGAAACAGCGCTGGTGTAGAGCCTGTGATCCTGCAGCCTATACAGAAACAGACTCCCTGACACCAGTGCCTGTTTTCTCCGTGCAGGAAGAGCCCTGTGGGGCTGGAGTTGGGACTCTATGTTTAATCTACAGAACAGCATAGTCTGAACCTAAAGGATCCTTCCCTCTTTCACATTCAGATCTCTCCGACAGGTTCTCCATAGGAACTGACATGCACTTGATTTCCATGCAGACGCTGAAAGCTACAATTTGGTAAAGGAGAGGAAATTCATTGTGTGACTTGCAGGTATTTGAGAGGGAAAGCTTAATCAGCTGGTTGGACTCTTTTTGTCTCATCAGTAGTTCAGCTCAACAGCTGAACCAAAGCCTGTACTGCAGTTCATGAAAAAGAAGGAAGGCAAGTCAATACTTGGCTATTAAAAATTTGCTGCTGGGACATGAAAGTACTGATTTTGTATACAGGTTGCTTGTGTACAGCCTCCACGGGCCGCCTTAAAAGCCAACATGGTTCATCCTGAGTTGTCCACGCATATGTGCTGACAAGGGTGGGTGTTTGCACATCTCATTTCTGTAGAGTCTGAAGAAGCTCCAGGAGATGCCCAGGTAATGTCTCATCGAAATGTAAAATTACTCAGTTGTAATGACCTGAGAGGATTCAAAATGAGGAAAAGTCTCTGCATAATGAGAACCTGATTGAGCATGAAATGCACTTCACACAAGCTCTCTGATGCAATTTTATGTGAGTTGAGATCTTTTTCTTTTCATGTTGGCATTAATATCGCAGAACAGTGCAGATCAAACCCAAAAAATACTCCAAATTTGCAACCATGCTGCAAGTAGTGGGACAACTAAGAAGAGATCAAAAATGAAATTTAGGCACTTTTGAAAATTTTCTATGATGTCTTATGACTAAAGAAGCTTTGGAAAGCAAATGAGGCAGAGGGTGTTTAAAACCAAGAGAGTTAGGAAATAACTGGTAATGTATTGCTTTTACTAGTCGTATAAAAATAGGCCCTGGTGATTCTTGGCTTAACTGTGATATAAGCAAACAACTCGTAAGAGACAGCTCTTTCCTTTTAGGGTTATCATTCAGGAAGACAATCAGGAGGTAAGGGGAGGCAGAAGCAAAGCGTGATCAAGTGACTTGCTGCAGCACATCTAGCACATCTCTAAAATACCGTTCTGGTATTTCGCAGATATTATCTGCCTCAGAGAAACGTGGCAAATCTCAATTAACTCGTCAAAGGCTTGCAATGATCTGCCAGCAAAAGGATCTGTGCTATATATGTGCATAGCTTATATGCATTTATTCAAATATAGCTTGCCTGTTTATTTGTGACATTACTGTTTTAGTGGCAGTGCCCTAATGGAAGCTTTATTGGTACTTTCAGTAATATCTCTCTTTCAAAGCAGAAAATTGTTAAGCTCTTCAAGAATTATCCTACATGCCAATTAACTCACTTTTTGAGATGAATCATTAGGTATCTAAGTGTCTCGTAGTGAGCAGCAGGGAGTAACATCAACACTTCATGTATTGCTTCTAGTCGTTCATCAGGATTGGAGATTTCTGTAAAAACACCGAACAGGATTAATGTTAATAGGGCTTTCCATTTGTAAACACCAATAATTCAGGAAGCTAAGTTATTATTATGGAGTCATTTACAAGCCATTGACTGTGCTTGGAGGGATAAATATTAAACTCATAAACATGGAGCTTATCAGCAACTTTTGCATCCTCAAAAAAAAAAAAGCTTTACAAAGAAATCAGCAACAAAGACCACCCAATAGTCATCTCTACGGTCTGTAGCTCTATCTACAGGCCTGTATAGGTACAGTATCCAAGCTTTATTAAGTGCTTCCTAATATTCTGCCTGGAACTGACTCTTTAAAATCTTACATAAGATTACTTCCATTAGTCTTCAACACCAGATGGGAGTGTGGATATATGCTTCAGAGACTGTGCTTAGATATGTAAGTTTAGCTAGCGATTGAAATGACACTGAATTACATAAACGAAGATTTCAGAACATCTTTAAATATGTAGGTATCAGTGATCAGAGAGTGTCAGTGCTCATTTGGCAATTTCTCTAAAAATCTGAGCAGGATTTACATGTATTTTACATGAAAAGTATGGATTCCTAAGCTGTGAACCGAGTCACTTATATTTGCTGCATGACTTTCCATACAAATGGCACCAGGAGCTTGAAATTCTAGAAGATTAAGAATCTTTATGTCCTGCTTTTAAGAGATTGGTGTATTGACGTGATAGGAACTGCTTCCTCTGGGCTTTCATAGGACTAGTGACGAGCAAGAATAATTTCTCTGCCAAGGAGGAAGAGGAGAGTGCAGGAGAGAGGTATCTGGGGTTGCATGGGGGAGTGCGAGGTAGGGTAAGCCAGAGGGGAAGGGAAGGCAGCACAGTCACAGAGAGAGACCACTCTTCCTGCTGCTTATCCATATACTGGGTGCCATTTCAAAATTACTAAGGATACTTTTTAAAGAAGAAAGCATGCTACCTCTTAGACACCTCACATCTTTGACGTTTTTTGCTAATAATCTGATTTTGATGCTATCCCCCTGGTGAGTTTTCATGAGTGACTATCATTACGTGGAAGGCTGTGCCCCAGAGAGCAGTATTTGAGGCAAATCTCAGCTCTCTCTGCCAACATTACGGCAATGAACGCTGCTGTCCTCCTCCCTGTCTGGTAGTGTGCACCCACGACCTGCCGGCTCTGGGTAGGGGGTAACTGCACGAGCCTCCCATCTGGACATGGGTTAGATACTGTAGGACCTAATGAACAGTGGATGCGCCTGAACTGCGGGGCAGGTGTGGTTTGTGGTGTGCCTCATTGCTCTGACCCCTCACCGACTGAAGGAGGGGACGTGCTTGTCAGCAGTGCAGATTTGTTGCCAAAGGAGGCCACGATATAGGACATGGGGAAAATGGTGGGGAAATGGGAAGCACCCTCAAGGCTCACATTGTTCACTCATCCCTGACCCATCATGGATCACCCAGTCTTGCACGCGTCTGCGGCCATGACACCAACCCTGGGGTAGTGTGCCTGCATGATGTCCCATCTGCAATAACATTCAGGCAAAAGTTTCATGTGAAAGAAGGACGTGGCAGAGAAGTAATGAACAGAACAACGCTCTTGCTTCCAAATTGTTGTCTGTCTTTTCTTTTTCTTTAACGTGGACAGCTTTATGGATGGGAAATGTAATTAAAGATCGGTACAAATTACTATGCAATACTTACTTGCTGCCTCTATGAACTTGGAATAGGTGTCGTAGGTGATCACGGGAATCGGTAAATCTCTGAAGTATAGCTTCAGTGCTCCGGCAATGATGTTTATGTCTGGATAAATACTGGCAGAAATATCAGCCTTGTCACCATCTAGAAAAGGAGGAAGAAATCGTTTTGAAACCAGTCTAAATTTGACTGAAGAAAGGCTAGGCTTCTAATTCAGATTTATTGTGTCCAACCTGACAAGAAAAAACAGCCTGAAAGCATTTGGAAGGCTTAAATGAGAATATATTGCTACCAACTTTACAGTATATGAATGAGGAATGGTAGTTTCTTTATCTTTTAGCAAACAATTTATTTGCTTACATCTTTTGGAGAGGCTGGTGATTACATCAACAATATCTGCAGTGTACCATCTCACACTGTTGGATGAAAAATCATGTTAATAATATATTTAGTGGATTTGGCCCATTTATTCACTGAAAATAAGCTATTAATAACTTGCTTTGATGTTGTATTTTGTATCCGCAGATCCATGCACAGGAGTATGAACTATTCTTTTCATTTTCACTTGGGGAAAGAGAGGCACAGAGAAATAACATAAATTTCCAATGACCCTCAGGAGACCAGTAGGAAAAACCAGAGTAAACATGCAAATCTTGTAAGTTCTGCACCAATCTATCTATACTGGTTAGCTAGTAAGAAAGCCGCCTTATTTCCTGGATGTCCTCTAATGTCTTCATATTTGACTTATTTATTTATAGCAAAGGTTTGAATTTAAATAGGCATGCTATGGCATTTAGCTATACAATTTATTCTGAAACGTGGATTGCAATTTGTTAAATGAATATGGATACTTGTAATGGATGAACAGCTAAATAGACAAATTATGCAATTGAAATGACATACATTTTGTTTGCCACATATTATAACACAGTTAGTCAGAACTCCATTACGGAGCACTTTTAATCACATGAGCTTAACATTTGCAAGTGTTGCTGGTCAGCCCTTGACAAACGCACGGCTTGCAAAAAGTGAAATTACAAGAACTAGCAGTGAGGCTGGATCACTATTACTTTTCAAGTTCAAATGACAAAACTTGACTTTTCAAGTTCAATGTTCTGTACTACCTAGTACCCTCCAGACCGAGAAATTCTGCTGTCCTCCTCTCCTGGGGCCTGTCCTTGGCAGTCTTCCAGCAGAAAGACGGGGTAGGACACTGGTCAAGCAGGGGCTGAGGCTATCTGGATTTAATCCCCAGCTTTACCTCAGGCTTCTTTGAGATCAGTTATACCCCGTAGTCCTTATTCCCCACCTTTCAAGTGAGGATAATAGCGCTTCCCTCGCAGGAGGTGGTGAAGATTAGGACCATACGGTGAGTGGGGCGATGTGAGCTTATTCCTGCTTGAACAACAGAGAGGAGTTCGCTTGTATCTGCCGGGAGGTGCAAGCACAAGCTGGGGCTGTTACCACCGAGGCGCTGACATGCTGTAAAGCCATCGCCTTGCTTGTCTCGCAATAACTAGTGCTTGTAGACATGCCCTGATAGAGACAGATGAGTGGGTATGCTTGATACACGGCATCTAAGATGGTGATAAAGGCTTTCATAGCACAGTAAAAGAGTTTATATTGATTGTAGACATTTTATACAAACCTATGGCATTAATCTTGAAGGGATACGTCCTGTCCAATGTATGCACATAATTCTCATTAAGACTAATAGCACTACATGTTCTCATCAAGAGGAGATTATATGCTTAAGCGTTTAAAACAAGCAGCCTTTCTTGATGCAGCTGAGCAGTCTGAATACATCCATCAGCATTTAATTTAATACAGCATCAATAAGCCCTAGGAGGATGTTTACACTGCCCCAATCTTTTGTTTAATCCACACGTTCCAGCGACGGTAGCATTAGTCTTGTAAAGCTTTGTGTGGAGAGCTCTATTTAATTGATGGACACTGAGCACTCAAAATGCTCCACTGAAAACAGATACCTCCAAGGAGCCAGCAGCTGCATCAGAACAGATATAGCAAAGCAGAAGGTTGCATCTATTATCCAGGTCACCAGTACACTAAATGGAAGTGTTATTTATTTAGTACTTTTACAAAGCAGCCCAGCAAGCTTCCTTAAAGGGGCACTTCAAACTACAATGTACTTCAAACATACCTCTTATTTACACATTCACTTATGGCAGTAAAAATGCATTAATCCCTGAGTCAAAGATTTTTCTCTTCAGAGACAAATGTACATCTACTGGAAATGCACTGAAGATTATTTTAAAGTGAGTGTAACAATACATCTGTTATAATATACCTACACATTTCTGCAGTGGGTATGTAGGGGAAGGTGGATTTTTATTTTCCTTTGGTAGATTTTGGATTGTCTTTTTTTTTTTTTCCCTTTCAGTTTCAGCAATTGAAGGCCCTTGGCAGTCTGCACTTATTTCTTATCCTCACCAAATTCCTGGATTTGTATTTTCATTTAAACACACTTAAAATGCAAAGCACTAAGAAAGAAAAGTTAATTCATTGCCAGTAAAGTCATGACACATACTTCACAGAGGATCCTCTGCAGTAGCATACTGTATGAATTACATCTATTTTATATGGTACCTTCTGCATTACCACAATAATTTTTTTCACTCTTCAATACTGTAACTTTCCTCAGATTGTACTTAGTATTTTCAGTATCATTGCAGTGGCCATATGTTAATACAATCTTTTTTTAAATTTTGGATTACAAACATATAGTTCATTTCAGCTTTACAAACCTAATCTTCCTCAAACCCCGTCATTTCTCTTTCCTTGTTACTTTGACTCTCAACATATTTTGTTGCATTATGTTGAAGTTTGAATATCTCAAGACAAAGAAAGTCTTTATTCTGCCCCTTAAAGGTTTCAGCTGACTTTGGATGCCATAGAAATATATCAATAGTTTATTAGAGCATGAAATGGAATAAGTGTTACATTCTTAAAGCCTCAGCTATGCCCTCCGAATACTGAATTACATTTCTACTTAAGTTCCTTTTTCCTTAATGCTTTGTTTTTATTGCACAACCTTCGCCATGCTAACGTGCTGCTTTGGTGTTTTTCGTGGATTTGGCATTTGACAGGTTTTCAGCTACACTGGCAAAAGAGTGAGTAGGAGTTAGGATGCCTGTAAGTACCCATGTAATATTTAACAGCATAATATTTTTAGCAAGTGTATTGTACCAGCCAGTCATACAAACAAGTGGGGGGACAGAATGCACTGGTGACAATGGCAGCTCTGTGGATAAAGCGCACAATGAGGGTTTTCTGGATGCCACAACGCCACAGCTCAACAACACTGACAGAGAGCAACTGTCGTTCTACAGCACCAACATTCACCAGATTAAATAAATCCACATTATTCCCCTCCTTCTCATTACAAAAATCACTAAAATAGAACATTGTCGGTGCCTCAGAGAGCCTAACGCTAATTTACAGTAGGGGTATTTACACTGCTTTGGCTTTGGAAGGGACTCTTATTTAAATCAGATGAGGACCAACTTCTCCCTGTTTTAAAACCAACTATCACAGCTTCATCGGGCCCAAATAATATTATGTGGGATGCCATTCTCTTCCCAAGATGTTAACTTTCAAACCTGCCTTTGCTTTTCCGTTCTCGCTAGAATTCTTTGGAAGCAACAAGTGGCAAAGCAGAGTTAGTCAGAGGGAAGGCTGGCTTCTCTTCATTGTGCCCCTTCAGCTGCACATGAAATCAGCAGGAGAGGTACCCTACAGCCAAGTCAGCCCCTGCGCCTCATCTCTATATCATACTGTCTTCTGGCTCCTGTGGCTTGATGAAGATCTTCAGAAACCAGAAAGCTTGATGGCATTATTTGAAGGATGCGTCCTGCGCATTAAATGGGAGGGCTCCTTGCTTGCTTATTTTCAAACCCTTTTATTAAAAGCTGTATTTCCAGAGATGCAAAAGCGTGCTGGCATTCTAGCCAGGTGCCTGGGGACTGACTCGGAAACGATGGGCAGGGAGGGACCTCTGTAATGCCAGAGTGCTGTGCTCTGCTACTGCAGGCACCACGCCATATAACCCCTCTTGTAAACCCCTCAACTTCCATTTTAAAACTAGTTAAGGTTTTTATCTCTGCTTTTATTAGAAGGTTGTTTCAGAGCCTTGCTTTCAGATGGTTAAAAATGGTCTTTAAATTGTCAAACTAAATTTATTCCTGGCCAGTGTATATCCTCTAGTATTGTGCCAGGACTATCCATTAGATTAAACAGTTCTTTTCTCTGGTTCATACCCCTGCTCTCACCTTCTCCTTTGACAGCTAACTATCCCAAGCTCTTTTAAAACACGTTTACCTTCTGCTATGCAGCGTGCTCCAGATCTGTCTGAGATAGTGACATGGCCACAGATATGGCTGCTTCTGCTGTAAGACCTATCTATTAACCAGAACTGATCAGGAATTTTCCATTTTATATTTCAGACACAAATTTTCCTTTTTTTTTTACTTTTGCAAAAAATATGTTAATTTCCTGTAGTGAATGTGGAAACAACAGTTCTGTAAAACTCCCACAAACTTCACTTTCTGGGCAGAAAATGAAATTTGAACAAAAACCTTCCAGGCATTGCTGGAGATGAGACCTGCCACCTGGCTCTCAGCTCCCTTCTCTCCCAGCTCTGTCACCTGGAACAGAGATCTGGGATAGTCCACCCCCTGCTGCTCCTGCTTCTAGGGCTAAGGAGGGGTAACTGGGCAGCAGAAAAGCGATGTTCCTACCTGCGGGGCTGGGATGCAGAAGAGAGGGTGGGGTCTCTGTCTCTGTAAACTTGGATCTGACAGGGAAGCAAGCCCTGAGCTGTCAGATTGCAAGCGTCTTGCCAATTCAACCTTCTGCCAGCTGACAACCACCTTCTAGCTGCACAGCCCACAAGTCAGAACAAAAAAACTATTTTCGTTTTCTTCAAATCCTTTCCTGCAAAAAAACCCCAACTCCTGCTTTTCCATCTCAGTTCAGGGAGAAAACATTTTCAAAACTGTAAAGTGAAGTTCTCAGCTTCTGGTCTCAGCAATACTGTAGTCATGCAATTCTCATAACAAGTTTTTGTTCACTCTTCCACCGCTTTTAGCATTATTCATGGCAACATTCTCTCTTTCCTTTCTTATCCCTTTTCCCTCATGAGATTGTTAAAAGAAGATGAAGACACAGCTTTTTATCAATCTATGCCCAATGGTTTTCCCCGCAGCCTGTGTATATAAACTTGGTTGTTGCTTTCTCCACTTCCATGTTTATCCATGCTTTTTTTCCTTTGGAAATCCAACACTACTAGTGACCTTACTCTTCCTGTTTCTAGGTGCTGCCTTCTTTGCCAGTAAATCACACTTTCTTCCTTGCTGTGGGTCTAATTCAAGTGTGTATTGCCACCAGATGATGCCATGAGTATAGGCAATAATAAAAGATAATGCTGTCTGTAAAACTGAACTGGCTCCAGTGGTTCGAAGCATTTGCAAAGGAACTACAGCTGCAGCAGTATTCAAGTCATGCTCAGACATAAATTTCCATCTGCTTCTTCAAACTCTTCCCTCTGCAACCTGTGCTTCTCCTTCTGGGTTTCATTCAAATTGGTACACTTAGAGGAGAATTAACACACAGAACAAAAGGGTTTGCCAGGCCAGATCCACCTGCAGGGAGCAGGGTAGGACCTATGAGGACTGTGACCCTCTCAGTAGCACTGCTTCATGTGGCACACCTGCAACATCTATCTTCCTATGATAGCAGTCATATCACTGTGCATCTCTTTCACCCAAATCATGGCTGACCTATGTGTGTATATGCATATGTTCACAACTGCAGCATCCAACACATTTAAAAGATGTATTATTTTTAAAAGGATATTTCGGTATAGCAAGAAAACAGTCATTTTGGAAATTCCTAGTTGGACTTTCTTTGCCAGTGACGTCTGCGTGACAAACTGTCTCCAAACAAAGAAGTATTCAGGCACAGTAAATGTAAGGCGTGCCACCCATAGACCTTGCTGGCCCTGCCCAGCCTTCACTGGAGCCCCCAAACCTCTGTGCCCATGGACCCCCAGGGCCCCCAGTCCCTGTCTGAGGGACATCGTAGCTGTCTCCAGCTGGGTCAGGGCCATGCCTGTGCCTGGCCATGCACCCTTCTGGGTGGTACCCCGACCCACAGGCTGACTTCCTGGCTTGATCTGGACCTGCCTCGTCCCCATGGGCTTGCGATCACTGGGCTATGTCTGACCCTATTCCCTAACATAGCACAGGTAATACCTGAAAAACTCAAGTAGGAAGGAAAACACTGTTTATGGGAAAGGAGAAGAATATTTATGTAACTTCTTAAATGTACTTGAAAATGTGTTTTCTGTTGATGAAGGCCCTACTCTGCACCCACTACCATATATACTTAAAATTAGTCCTGTGTGCAAAGACCGTGCACAGCCAGAACCAAGGTAATCAGCTAAATCAATTCAAAAGGGCTACGAGGATGGTAATAATGATTAACAGGCAGTGTTTTAATTATTAGTTTTTCAATATGCTGTACAACCAATCTCCCCAATGCTCTTCTCATCTGTTCTGCAGAAGCAATCACCTGCACAGTTGTGCGGTGCTTTCTACAAGGCTACATGCAGAATGACTTCCCAGTTGGAGTTCCTGGTTCTTAAACTCATAAATAGATTATCATATTGTAAAGCACGAAGTCTACTAAAGGTAGGACTAAGAGCTTTTCCCCTGGTACTATCTAGTCTTGTACTTGAACTAGGAGCCTAGGCTGTGCTGCTTGGTTGAGCAACATGCAGTCCCCCGAGCACTTAGCTTTCTGCCTGCCATTACTTTCTGTTTAACTATTCCTTCCAACTATGAAATACGATTTCTTCTTATGAAAAGCACTACAGATTAATTTAAGAACTCAGAAAAGACAGGTTGCTTTCTGTACTTCTGCTTATATGCCAGTTTCATTACCGCGGTACCTATATAAACACAAGAAGAACTGAAAAGTCCTAGAACCGAAACCTTAGATTAAAATTGTACAAGATTAAAACATGGTATACCTCGATCAAAGGCCATTTTCACATCTTCAATGTGCTCAGTGAAGCCTGAGACTCTATAGAGGCCCTCGGACTTTAAACCTGAAACAAAAAGTTCTTGGTTAACTTTGCTTCAGTAACCAACAAATATTCAGGCTTAAAAACAATAAAGCAAGAACAACAGATCTAGTAAGTGTAGCAAAATATTAATTGTAATGTGAAACTCCGGAGCAAGGAAGGATCAAGGTAATATTAAGTTGTTTTTTAAAGGATTAAAGAATTTTAGAATTTATACTTTCTGATTTTTTTTGGTACACAGTTGATTATGTTAGAGGAAAATATTGCAATTTACTAATGGTGGGGCATGTGATCTTATAATGATTTATTAATTTTACGTGGGAGATTTTCCTGGATTTGGCTATAATTAATAAAGCTTTAGAAGTCTCCTTTCCTTTTACCAGTTGCTTAATGATAAATAGCAATGCAAGTAAGAGACTGCCTTTCCCTAAGAGCACATTTGTTCCCAGTTTTAATCTCAGCTTTTACTTATACACAGCTGACAGATGTGATGGATACTGTTCTTCTCCACATCAGTACATCCTTTCTACAGTTCTTTCACCCCAAGAGACCTGCTCACTTGCACAACTCTCCCCACATTGCTCCACATCAATGTGAAATGCAGGGCAGCCCAGCAGAGTAGGCAGAGATAGCCAAGCAGAGTTACACACACGTTATTTATTTTCATCCCAGAGCTCCTTATTGTGACTATGCACAGTGCTAACCTACTTATAAGATCCAATACACTTTGTTTTCTTAAGAACGAAATCAGTATCTTACATAGTTCTACAGCAATTAAAAAAAGAAATTTAAAGATGTTGAAAAAACGGAGAGCGGGCAGCAGATTTTATCTTAATCAATAAATGTACAAGTAAGTGATTAGATCTCAAATGCAATGTAGCTTTCTGCTATATCATCAGAGTAAAGCTCTTCTGTCTTAGTCCAAACTATTCTTTCTATTTGTCCCTGCAATGACGATATAATCCTGGTAGAGCTTTACGGAGCAGTGCAGGGGATTTACTTGTAAATCTTTGATTCATTTCAGTAAATGATGCGTGGCTTTGAAATCCCTATGGCTAGTATCAGTGTGTTGCCATGCAGATTACTGTGATGCCATGAATTCAACATTATGAGATTCCTGTGCTGAAGCTATGACTAACAGGGAAATTTGGCTTATTGGGCAGCACGACATACACATTTGCTATCCAAGGCAAAAATACGTGATCATTACTGTGTTGTGTTGGAGGGGATATGGTATTTTTTCAATCTGGCATGCTTCTGCATAGCAAAAACCTGTCACAAGCTGGAGCTTTGGCTGTGACATGCCGCCTGAGTCATGGCATCCATCAGTCAATAGCTGAGCATCATGCGAAACCCTGCGCAGTTTGTGACATACCACAAAATGCCACAGCCTGTGACCTCATTTGTCTGAGTCACTTCCAGTCACTTGTGTTCTCTTGCCCATAGTGTCTGGAAAAGTTATTAATAATGGGTTTGATTTAAACTCATTACTCTGAAATTGGAAGTGTCCCTATGTATGTTAAAAGAAAATAATGAAAAAAGACACATAAACATGAACTTAAAGTTCACTTTAAAGTTCACCCCTTTCAGAAGTGTAACGTTATACATGTTTTGACATGTTTTCAGAAAGCATTTCAGGAAATTGCATTATGAAATGTCATGATTTAATTTTCCTAGCTAATGCAAAGCAATGTATCACCTAAACTAAAAAAAAAACCTTCTCTCATCCTGTCTTCAGTGTGCATGAGCATACTACCGTGTCCTAGTTTAGCATGTAATTCAAGTCGTCTTTATTTAATTGTGTCTGCTGCTTTCTGAAGCATACAAACCTCTTGCTTCGATCTCTCGAATGCATGAATCCACAACCATTGGCCTCTGGGTATTGTGGGCTTTCACTAGTGTGGTGAGATCGCAGCAGTAGACTCGCTTTATCCTTTTGAGGTCTGGTTGGCAGTCGTTGGGCACATATTTGGAGCACTGCTTATGTACGTTCAACCCGCAGTCTGTAAACAAAGTTAGCCAAGTTAATTAATTAATACTAACACTGACAGGTCTTGTCTAACAAGACCTTAGGCCACATCAAGCAAGGGGCATAACTTCCCCATCAGTCAGCAAAGCTAGAATAAGTAAGATGGAGATGAGAAAGACAAGCATGGAAATCTCCTGTAAAAAACTTATGGTGGGCAAAGTGAACTCCAGCATAGTTGTTAAAAAAGCTATATAAGTTCTGAATGTCCTTCACACAGCTCTGAGCTGGAGGTGACCGCTGGTGTGGTCTGGGTCAGTTCACTGCCGGACATGTAGCTCTAGGTGTTGTGTTTGAAAGGACGTGGGACTTAACTTCTGAGTATTTTAGTTTAGTCTTTTATAAAATTAGCATAGTAATGACTGTCTTCTGCTGGCCAGCTTGTGGCCTAGCGCTGCTAATGGGCAAAGGACCTAAGATTCACCTGAGCACTCAAACTGGGACAGTGCTTTGAGCTAGTGTGCCTTCCTTCCCCTTCCCCATTCCTGCAGTGTCGCATTTTGGCTCACTCCGCCACATCAGCAGCCTCCCCATCCCTGTCTCATCACTTCACTGGCAACTAAAGTGTCCCCTGTGTTCAGTCTGTAGGTCAGTTTAGGTATATAAAATGCTGTGAAAGGCATGATGTAAAAAAGTGATTCATTTCACAAATGGTTCTTGGCGTCTTACTCCAGAATCAAATCCTACTCTTGGTTGCACGGGTGGGTTTCTATTAACTGAAACATCACTGCTTGATCTCCACAAATTGAATTTTTCTAACAGATTCAAATATTCAGCCAAATGAATTTAATAAGCCTCAGTAAAGCAAATACCACCATCGTGAGCTACATTATCTCACATAACTCTGATTCCTGTTTTAATGCCTTCCCAGTCATGCCCATCACTGACAGTACCTTTTGGACTAACTTAACATGTCTAGTATCATCATTAATAAGTTAGTTACTGTTTTTTCATGTTGAATTGCTGCCGGAGCTATTCAAAATGTAAACATGTCTCTACTACTTGCAGGAAATTTCAGTATTATTCTCTATAAAATATTAATCAAGCAAAATCATATCACCACTACAAACACACCTACACATTTAATGGAATTGGTGTTTTTTGTGTGTTTCTCCATACAGTTATTACTGCATAATACATTATTGTTCCGCGAAATCTAAACAAATGTGAGCAGCTGCAGTTAGGATCCTCCCTGTATTGTTTTCAGTGCTGTTCTCCAAGCATGTGAAGTTAAATCCAAATGCATCTGTCTGCTTAGAATTAAATGTTGATAATTTAATGAAGGAGAGTATTATGTTTCATACTAAATAAATAAGCCTTTTCATAAGTTTAGTATTTTATGTATGTGAAAAAATACAGCTCTATGCATTAGGGAGGTCAGTTTTTGCACACTTGTGTTTAAGATCAAGTAGCTTGAAAAGCAAACTAGTATTAATTTTCCTCTTTTTTAATATCGTTATTCTTTGTGTTACCATTATTCACCTACAGGCAGACAAGATGTAGCAGTAACTAAGACTGCACTTACTAAAACTTTGAAGGTATTTTGACCCTTCAAACTGCTGTCTAAATTTTAGGTAACAACCACGTTCTCTACCCACGCAAGGCAGATGTTGGGGGCAGTAGTTGTGTTCGGTGCCAGTCTGAGAAAAAATCAGGGCAGGCAGAGGTAAGACAGAAGTGTATTCATTTGAGACATGGAAGGGATTGAAGGTCTGTAGAAAGAAGTTATGAAACCCCATTTGCAATGCACCAAATACCATTTCACTTGCTGAATCCAAAAGCTCATGAGATGATGATTACTGCATTTTTGTGAGATGGATTATTTTTCACAACAGAACAAACAAATTTAATGAAATTAAAATGCTATTAAAATGCTGATACAATTATAGAGGCACTAGAAAACTAATCCTTCTGGGAAAACGAAGGCTGTATTTTTTGCTTTCCCTTGAGGTGGGCTACTTAAGGCTTGCAGCAACGCATGGTATTTCTATAGGAAACAGGTGACAGCCTTTTTGCAGACAAGGGTACTTCTCAGCCATTGGTGGCAAAAAGATGAGTTATGAAGCCTAGTTGCTGGCCGGCTCTGCCATTTCCAAAGCTTGTTTCTTAAGATGTAAAAACATTCAGGGATAACTTAATGACACCATAAAGAAGAATTCTTAATACATGCACCAAGGCACATGCATGACCAAGGTACTACTGAAAGGATGTCACCCTCAGCGACCAAGGGCTGGTGGCTTAATTTCTAAACCAGCTAATGGGAAAAATGACAGCACTCTAACTTGCATGGGAGGATTTCTTGCCTTGTTTTGTAAAGTAATCCCTATCCCGCCTCCTGCAGGGAGTGCAGGCTGAGGGTGGGAGAGACGCACTTCAAAAGAAAGACAGAAAATGCTGAAGGGCTACCTGAACACCTCACTCCCTGAGCGATGAGACCCCACATGAAGTTGGCGCAGTATTCACACCAGTGCGGACCTCGAAACGTATGGACCTGTAAAACAAATGGGGGGTGGGGAGGAAGAAATGGGGTCATTGGGAGGCAGATGGTCTGACAGATGGAACAACTGAAATGCATAAACAACAGAAGACTCAGTAGGAGTAAATCTTTAGCATACAGTGCCCACATCTTTCCAAAGTCTAGATGAAATAAACCATGGGAACAGAAATTTGCTTTGATCTTCAAGTTTATCTTTCAATAGGCTTAACATAACAGAGAACTGGTCTGTATACGGCACTGAAAACAAATCAGTTTTGCTAGCCGACATTTTAGCTACAGGAGAGGGGAGGAAACCAGGTTCACTAGTCGAAGGAGAAAAAAGTAAAATTAATAATCCAAGGAACTGTGGTCAGTGCTTTTATTTGACTAGTTCAAACAAAACAGGAATGATTCAAACGCTCTTCAACAGATCACTTGAAAGTAGGGGAAATGCAGTGACAGAAAGTCCCTTTGAATGCAAGGCATTTTGGTTCCCCATAAACCTGTGGGACCACAGATCTGGTGCAAAACCCATGTTACAAGAGCACCGGGCAAGTTCGAGCACGCTACGACTATGGTGTTACATGTGTATTTATATGCTCTTCAACACTGAACAAAACTCGAGGCGATTGCTGTAAATTTGTATCAGGGATGATAATGAATGCTTTATGCAGCCACTCCAGGCAGAGGTTGGATAATGATCTGATTTTGCACACTAGAATCCATTAGTGATAAAAGCAAACAACACCCTTCCCCACTGTAGTAAGTAAACTGAACTCACATAGGGGAAAGATGTCAGTAGGCTCTTTTTCAGCAGAGCAAACTTCATTTTGCTACAGTCCACACATGAGTAAATAAGAAGGAACAGAGCCCACGGCTCCCCAGCCAGGTTTTGCACAGCACTGCTGCTTCCTCCACTGCTTTTCCACAGTGGAAGACCTTTTTATTTAAGATGTATGTTCTGGTAAAGTAAGCATTTCATTTTCATTGAAAAGAAGAGTAAATAGTGAGGTCTATGCCTGTGTGAATGGACATGGTATGAGCTAGTTCTGGCCAGACTTAATTGAGCTTAACAAAACATAAATCATGCATACTCTGGCTGCTAATGCTTCCTTTGCCTTCTCTCTGCTCTTGTTTACCCATCGGGTGGATGGCTGAAAGGCCACTTCCACCCCCTGGGATGGGGAAAGCTGCTCTTTACTCTTCATAGAGTAAAAAAATGGTCATTGCCCTTTTCAAATAAACTTGGGGAAGTTTTAAGCCAAGCATTTGGCTTGCTAATGTTTTCACCCCATTTGTCTGCAGGATCACACCTAAACAAGCCTGTAATCTTGAATCCATTCCCCCGAAGATGAAGTATTGTGATTTTAATACAGACCTCTCTTTCTGATTTAGTGATAAAAATGTGAGCCTGACCACAAATGACTCCTGATCAACTACTCACAGTCAATAATTGCGTGAATAAGCTTAAAGCAATAGTAATTCTTCCTCCCTTTTGATAGTAAAAGGTCAAAACCGGAATGTCTGACTGGTCATATTTAGTTTTTGAAATGGTATTTTACCTCTTAGAAAAATGTGTATCTCTGGGAAACAACACTTTGCAATAAAGTTTGAGATAGATAGATTGATAGATATAGACACATACTTCATTCTCATTTCATCTTGTTTTATTTTGCAGGGTGGGTAGCATGAATTTCAGACATGGCTTTCAGTGGGAGTAAATGGCCATACCTAACAACAGCTGGTGACCTGAGTTTCAGGCATATGCTCTATGTACGTGACCTTCAGTGGATACAAAACTACATATACAACTAATTATGCCTGCATCTTTACCATTTTTAGACTGATAACCACATAATTAGTAGGTCTGCACCTGCATTTAATTGTGGGAAGATAGCTAACTATATTTTCTGCTTTGCGGAGGTTTACAAAAGCTAACCTCGTGAGAAGGTTAGCTGTAGAAGCTGCTGTAAAAGCTCATTCAGGATTTTAAAAACTGCACCATTTCACATTAAAAGTCCATCACAGTTGCTACAATATTGGGGGCCTACTTGCTCACTTTACACAAAGCTTATTTCAACTGATCTCACTGTGGCATATTTAGAAAATGGTAGCTGATTATTCTTTGATCTCTCACGTCATTAATGGGAAACAGTCATCAACGCTGACTGAGGGCTCCATCTGAGAAGTGCTGACCGCGCACCCTTCCCTTGTTCCCTCCAGCTTGGTGGCCCTCAAAGGTTTAGCTCTCTTTATTCATTCACTTCAATTTTTCACGGATCTGCATTTTAGCTCAAATGGCAAGTTCCCAGCTGAAATGCCCTGTGAAAAGCTAGTCTTGGTGGTTTCTTGTCAAGTTGAAACAGGGAAATATTCGCTATCTCTAACTGAGAAAGGGAGGTCTTCAAAAGTTTCTAGATGAAGGTGCAAAAAATTTCTTAAGATGCAGTTTTGAACTAAGTCTCTTATGGCTTGCCATTAATTTTAAAGAAATAATGAAGGAAGTCTGTTCTTATGAACATAACACTTGAACGCAGCCCGAAGCTTACACACAACACTTTTGAACAGTAAATGGGAATTTTGCCTGCAAGATTGGCATCATCTCTATTTTAAACAAGGAGAGGTAACAGCAGGTCTTAGGTTTTTGAGATGGGTTTTTAGGTTTTGCCCCATCCTTTGTAACTGCATCATTACAAATGGACGGGGCTTAGATTTTTTGGAAACATGATCAAGATCTATTACTGGTTCCTACCCCATCCTGCAGTCTCAGGAGACCTCTCTGTGTACACACAGCATAGGCTGGGGCTGCTTGGGCTACAGTGGACACATAATTCCAACTTTTAAAAGGAATTTACAGGGAAGTATTTCTTCATATAAGCCAAAACCATGATGCTTCATATTTATACATTGTACTTTTCTTGTTCAGTCTTTCATCTTTTTTCCACAATGTCTAACTCCTAACTTCTTCACTCTGTTTCCTTTCCAGCTCTTTCAATGAAAAGTTGTTTCTTACATTCATCCTCTTTTCTCTGCTGGACAATCTCACCCAATACTACACTGTGTGTCTCTTCTTATTGCCTTCCTGTGCTCTCACCTTCGCCTTTCAGCCCTCTGGTGCCCTCGCTTCCAAATGGCAGAATTCCCCCCGCGGGTGCTGTCTCATTCAGTTTTAGTCTGTGTCTGAGCCATCTTCACAGAGGGAGAAACAGACCAAAACTAAGGAGTGCCAATACAATGGCAAAACAAAATAATCCCTTAAGCAATATTGCAGAAACAAAGTAAAAAATTGCCTTGAATTGAAACGCATGTTTTTTATTGGCATTATATAGTGCTGTTTCTGAGACAATTTTGTCATTTTTGTGACTGGGTTTGAAGACTTTTCTATTTGCCTCCAAAGAAAATAAGTTTTTTCAGACTTTTGCCTGAATACATGCACATTTTTACTCTCATGTGGACTCAAAAAAGCCATTTGCAGGGAAGAAAAGCTGACTCTGCTGTTATTTTTGTTTAAATACATACACATAATCTTTATGATGTCTGTAAAAATTGCCTCCCCCAAACCCTTTGTCTCTCAGAAGCAGTGTTTATCTGCAATGATTAACACAAGGGGAAATTTATCCCAGAGACTCCTTTCTCGCAGCAGATCTTCTGACTTGTCTGTAATCAGCTGCCTTTACTCCACAAGCTGACTCTGCTGTTATTTTTGTTTAAATACATACACATAATCTTTATGATGTCTGTAAAAATTGCCTCCCCCAAACCCTTTGTCTCTCAGAAGCAGTGTTTATCTGCAATGATTAACACAAGGGGAAATTTATCCCAGAGACTCCTTTCTCGCAGCAGATCTTCTGACTTGTCTGTAATCAGCTGCCTTTACTCCACTAGCCCACCTGCAAACGGGATTTGCCCATGCTATAGTGGCAAACAAGCACAATATTGTGGTAAATGCACATTATTCAGCTGTATTCACTCATTTAAAGCAGCACAGAGGCCCTCTCATTAATTCCCAGACTAGAACAAAACGCATGGAGCATCCCCAAACTCCATGCTGCTGCCCTCGGGTATGAGGTTGATCTCACCACCCGCTGGGACCCCACCGAAGTTGGCAGGTAAAGAGCATCCCAAAAAGCTTGCTGGATCCTAACTGTAACAAGATGCAAGAGGACGTTGCGATCCAGTTAGGCTAACACCCACATAGTTACAGAAATACCGCTGTATTTTTCTAAGCAGGGCTTCAGAGATTTATTCTCTTTCCTGAATTACGGTATGTCTACACTGGCTTATGCGAAGTTGTCCCGCCAAACAGACGCCAGCTCCAAACCTAAATCCATGTGACTGCATTGTGTGCTCAGGATGAACCCAGCTTAACAAATCAGTCTGGATACTAAATCTTTTTTTGTTCATTTGCCTTGAGTCCCTTGAAATTTGGAAGAGAGGCTGAATGAGAAAGCACGGATGCTCAGAAGGGCATAAGCTTGTGCCATCATGCTCCAAACTCCAACACACCTTTTTAATTTTTGTATTAGCTTGGAAAGGATGGAGTGAGAGCCGTCCTTGCTCTGAATTTGTGCCTTGAGTCTATTTCTTCCTTTTTTTCCTTCTCTCTTCCACTAGGTAAGATCTTCAGTGTAAGATTTACAAAAATCTCATAAGCTTCACTAAAAATGTGCCCTTCGTTTTTAAGATTCTTCATGGCTAAAGGACAAGAGCTAAAGAGTGTCTGTTCATGAAGAATTGCCTATGACAAGATTACTAAGGACACTGTGACACGTAACCTTTGTCCCTATAAACTAAGATGAATGATACAATACACGTCAGTATTCACCTAAAAATGGGGAAGACAACTCTTTGAATGTCTGCAAAATAGCATTCTCCTTCAGATAAATCCCATATCATCATAGCCTGAGTGCTGTCAAAAGCCATTAAGAATTTTGCCCCAAGACCCATAAAGCCATTCTTTCTCTTTTAAATAATTTCTTAACCCTTTTATGTAACCAATATGGAAAGATTAAAGATATTAGACTTGAATTTAGCGGTCTTTTAAATCTAAATATTCTACTCTAAGCATTCTATCCACACTTTTTGTTCAACAACTAGTCATGTTCTAATATATTCCTTTGGAAAACTAACTGTATTTGCATAGTGAACATACTTGATCATTAAGTAAATGTAATACTTTTGACTGGCCTTTCTGGACAATTTTTTTTTTAAATGTTCCTTCCCTAAGTTTTTTATTGCCTTTACTAGGATAAAACCATAATTTTCTGCTGTCAAGCCTTTGAATAGATATATATTTTAATCATGTGATTTTCCAGTTAAGCCATGACTCTCTTGAAACAGAAAGGAACAGAGACTGTACAACAGCTAGATTGTGCAAACGCAAAGTTAACTGGGCACATGTCCAATTATAAATCAAAGCCAAAACAAGGGGAATTTTGAAGAGGAAAGAATGCATGGGTCAAAGTGGAAAAAAGTCTCAGTCATGAGAAAATATTTTCTAGTTAAACTAAAATAGTTTTGATATTAAAATGATAATGAGGGCAAAACCCAGAAAGAATGAAAGCTTGTTTAATCAACCAAGAAAACACAGAGTATTTCCCCTATTTCTTTCAGTGCTGATCAGTGAGATAAATATTGACTTTTCTGTAGACTGGGTCAAGGAGGGGGAATGAGAAAAGGGATGCTATTATTTGCTTTGCTCACTAATATTAAATTATTGATTTACCAACTACAGCAGAAGCACTGCAGAGGAGAGCAATGTCTGCACAGCAGACTATGTAGAAAAATAAGAAGTGAAGCTTTTTTGCTAAACCAGGAAATCAGTGAAATCATTTTAATCAGTGCTTCTCCTTTTTTGACAGGCCTGAGATGAATACCAGAAAATTCTCTTTCTGCTAATGAGTTGAACTATTCTGACAGTGACCCAGATCAGCATCCTCAAGGAGCATTAAGTAAACTGAGGTTTCAAAGCTGAGATGCATTCCTTTCTTGTCTTGTTACTGCTTCTTATTCTCTCTGTATCCATCCGATAAGCATCAAACCACAATTTGACAGCATTAGATACAGTAACTGGCTGACATACTCTGAAACCAGCACAGTCCTTTTGGCAAAACATTTTAGTACAAGCTGCCTGGAAGGTCCATTTCCAAAGCTGAGTCACTTCCCTGCTGCAGCATGCCAGACACAGCACTTGGGGAAAAAAACCCTAAGAATCTGATTTTGTATGTATAAGACAGCAAAAAGATGATTCATTTAAATATCCCTGTGTTTGTCCAGCTATTTGGTTTAGTTTGACAAACACAAGCTCAGACCCTATAGCTCAGTGGGACTCTGAGAGCACTTCCTTAGCATATGGTGGTGGAACAAAAGCTAGGAGACAATACCACTGCTGTGCTCTGCTTTATTGTTAAGGAGCACCCAAGCTCCCTCAACTTCTTCTGAAAACAGAAATGGTCCAAAATGTTTGCTGGTAAAATGCTACTGGCTTCTGATAATAGCTAGATTTTGATTTTTCTCATTTAAAAATGGATGCACTTTAAGGTAAAGACAATCAATATGAAGTACTTTGTTTCTGAACAAAAAAAGAAAACTGAATCTGGGCAAAAAGAGCTAAAATGCCAGTCAAGTAGTGTAGTGAGTAGCAAAACCGTTATTTGGATTAAGTACCTATGTAAAAGCATATTAAGAATGCAGTCAAGGGAACTTACAGTAGAAAGAAAAATGCTTTTTTCAACACTTTGCTCAGAGCTAGTATAGATTGGTGCGTGAAAAAGCCCATCACAGAAAAAAAAAAATGTGAGGCATCTAAACAGAACTTTTAAGCCAAAAATAATAGGAAGTTGTGCTTACCTTAAAATTGTGTGCTTTTTCATAGTTGAAGTGGTTGTCATTTTGAGTTAAGGCTGCTCTTCTGACCAAGGAGGTGATCTGTGAATAGGCAAAGAGTTTCAGAGGTTGCCACAAAAGTGCCCCTTTGACTCCCACCTTCACCCCCAGGGCCACGGCCAGGAGCTCTTGGCGCTTCCTTCCTCGCTTCGACTTGTGAACAACGGCACAGTTTTTCTCATTTTCCAGCCACAGATCCTCCGAGAACATAGCGCTGGGATCCCAAATCTTTTCCCTGTCTTCCTCGGCGCCCGGGAGCCTGACTGTAGTCAGTACGGTACAGTTTGTCCAACTGCTTCTGATGTTAGACAGCAGATTTGAAGCAGCTGCAGCCCATTCTGCCGAGACCTCTGGCATGTGACTTGAATGGGCCGTCTTGTGGGACGGAAGGAGCTTCTGCATCTGAATAAGTAACGGCCTGTGCCGTGCGATTTCTTAAGGCAGATGTGTGCCTCGAACAATAGCCCGAATTCATACACTGAGCAACCTCCCCCCCCACTCCCCGAGTGGTGGTCTCCAGCTAGGTGCTGCCGAAATACCGGCCTTGGGGGGGACAGCGTTACAGCTTCACGCCCAAACGCATTTCCAGGGACGGATCACTTCAACTCCGCAGCATGTTAAAAATGAACAAACAAACAAAAAGCCCCGGGAAAGCCCACACAACTGAATCCGATGCTGCATCCAATTACACTCAGACTCAGAGACTTATCAGTCAGCAGTCTGCATGCCAGCAGATTTAAGACCTTAAAACCACGATGATTGTTTAATCTTACAGGGCTAAAAATCTCTCTTTTTTTTTTCATATCCTGTACAAAGGGAAAAATCCAGCAGCAGTCCAAGCATTAATAGCACTTTTATGCCATGTTTTAAACCAGAGCATTTTGTCAGTGTGCACTTGGTAGCACAGAGCCAGCTCACTGTCAGGGAAAGTTGAAAGCCTAGCTGGGAGGATGCAGGTAGGAAGCCCCCGAGCCCTGTGCAGCACTGGAGGGAGATGATTTCTAGTTAAAGCCCAGGGACAGGAGGGATCTGGACCCTGACAGTCTGCACTACAGCTTGCAGTGTTACTTTGGGTACCCGATTCACTTCTTTATGGGCAGGTATTTCCCCATCCCAGGACACAGAAGATGTGTGACACTGAGCATCCCCTGGGAAGCATGTTCAGTGCCTCCTGCCCACCAACTTCCCTCCCTCCAGCTCCCCTCTCCGGCTCCCTTAGTGAGTATGCCCATTCTCCATCCATAAGAGGAGGATAGGAGTTACCGCTCCTCTGGAAGAGGACTGTGAGATTTAATTCGCTAAGGTGTGTCTAATGCTTGAGATGCTGCGACAGAGCAAACTGGGGGGTTACCAGCGCTACTGGGAAAACTGCCTCTTTAAACTAGAGACACTAAAGACCACATCAGCCTTTTACAGTCTGCCCCACTTCAACTTACCCAGAAAATATGTGAAATTAAAGTATTAATTCACTTATGTTAATTTGTGAAGTTGAACTTGCGTCTATTTTTTCAGTTTGCTTTTACCTCAGGCTGAAAAGTCAGAAGGTTCATCTAATTCACTTACTAAAACCTCCACCATATAGACTGCCTGCTGTTAGTAAAAGCCATGCTCTCCTGATTTGAAAGTCTGTGGGGACAGATGGTCGGCTGTCAGTAACATCAGGGCATGCAATTTCAAATAGTGCCCTACTTAAGGTTTTCAAGAAGTTGTGCAACCTGCAAAATCAGCTTCTCAGTTATAAAACGATGCACTTACTTCTATGTATAGCATACTTAATTCCTTTCTTTTCCAGGTAACTCACAGCACCTCTTTTTATGTGCTCCCATACTCCAAAGCTTCTGCTCCCCGGTAGAGAGGACTTCCACACAACCCCGTTGCTACCGGAGCAGTTGCTGCCCGCCCGGCCCTTCCCCAGGGCTCAGCACTGTTATCTGACCACCGGTGACAACTGGCTGTGATGTATGTAAGAACATTACTCTGCCTGGAGGAAATCCCTGCTGCTCTTCCATATGTCCTCCTGCTAGTGAGTCCCGATTTCTGCTAGCTCAGGACCTTTATCTGCTTTCCAGCAGATAAAGACAGACTGTAGCTCCCCAGCTCCCTCTCAATGTATTTCAAGAGATGAGGAGCACTGGTTTTAGGGACATCTCTGACCCCATCAACGGCAATGGCTTCAGTCTGGGCCATCACAAAGGAAATGTTGGAGCAGCTTGAAGTTCTTATCACACTCCAGTTTCTTTCATCAGTACCATTTTAAATGTATTTACATTTATCTGGAACAAAACCCCCAAACTAGCTCTGAGTTGTTAAGACACCTCTGAAGCTACAGCATCTAAATCCCCATATATACATAAGCTACTTTCTCTCTGACTTCCAGCATAACAGATCAAAAGTCAGAGAGAGGTCAGTTTCCTAATAATGCTCTAATAGTTGTATTTATGTTACTAGACTGACAAAAATCCCATTATATAACCAATATTTTTTACATAACATGGCAGATTTGATGCTCAAGCTACAGGCTTATGGTGATACGTCTTGGAATTTCTATTTATTAAACTATTTTTGGAATATCAGAGTGTCATCCTGGGATCAGACATACAGTACTATATTTAATGGAAACTCTGAGTGTTTGCACAGAAGCATTAAACTTAATAGACTTAGAAAAGGACAACAGAGCCAAACCACTTCATATGACTAAGGCAGATCAGTATTTACTGTTTATCATATATGAAATTTTATTTATCCCCTAGGTTGCTTTTTCTGCCTTGCTTGGGCCCTGTTTAGACAGTTGTTTAATGGGATCCCTTGCAAACACAGGATGTGTACAGGCGGCCAACAGTGAGTGTGTCCTCTTAAGAAGCTTAATCATACAAAGCCCTACCAGGTTTGGTGTCTAAAATGGTGCCGTAAAACTGAGATGAGCTGGACCACATATATAACCCCTTCCCTCTCTAAATATAATGCAAACAGCAGCAACGACAAATTCTTAGCAGCAACCAGTTCCAACGTACTGATACTATAGGCCAACCCCAGTGCTCTCTTTTATCCATTTTCTTTTTCTTAATACAAAATTTACTGCACATGGTGTCAACTCATTTAAAGAGCATCTCTTAATCAAGTTAGCAAGTTAGCCTGCAGCTAAGGAGGAGAACGCCAGTGGCTAAAAATATTATTGCTGGTTGTCACCAAAGGTCTAAGCTAGTGAAGGCTGAAAAGCAAATACGGGTTGTCTGCGTTTTCAGACGAAAGGATTTCTGCATAACATATGATTTTAGTTTACTAGTCTCTCTGTAAAACACATGTACTGTAGAGCAAATTGGGCATTTACAGCAAAATAAATGTCACTGAACCAGAATAATAAAATTAAAAGGGGGGGGAGGAGGGCGGACTCAGCTGTTGCACCATTTCCAGCATGCCTTCGCAGAGCGAGCTCAACCACACCATTGTCTCTCCCCTCAAACACTGGCGTCTTGTTTGCTAACAAAGGCCTCGGGGGTAGGAAAGAACAAATTTTAGTATGAAAAGCTTTCAGTTTTGTACATGTGGCATGATTTCTGTTGTAGTCGTGTGGGTAGCACTGAAGCTGGAAGCAAGTGGCAGGGAAACTTTGCATGCCGCCTGGCTCCTCCGCGCCAGCTCCAGCGTGGTGGGAAGAGACACTGCGGGAGCGATGGCTCCTCTCCCCCCGCCGCTGCCGTGCCCGCGCAGGCTGGCAGGGACGGGGTATCGAGTGGCAGGTCCTTGGCTCGCCACTCTACCTGCCAAAGGGCACAACTATGGCGGGCAGGGGAGCGGGCATGTCTCCTTGGACGACACCACAAGCGAAAGGGAGATTGCTCCGTGATGAGGAATTGTGACAAATCCATGACTGATCTCTAACTAAATACACTTAACACTGCACACAGATACAGTCATAGGTCAAAGAGAGGCCTGTTTCCTCGCAGGCACGGCATACTCGGTAACCGGCCACACAGATTATGTTTGCTCAGTTGCAAACACGCCATGGAGATGATACACGGTGCAGGAATCTCGCAGCTATTGGGTTTTTCACCCATGGAGCCCTTCCCACGATGCATTCAGGAGACAACACCGAACAAGCTGGCTCTTAGCAAAACACAGGGCGTGGAGGGGAAACGGTGGCGGAGGCTAGTCAGCCAAAGGCCTTCACCATACCACAATGCCGCCAGCCCGTGCCATGGCACTGGGGGCTGCCATTAAAAGGCTTCTGTGCTGCTGAAACAGTGGGAGGAAAAAAGTTCCAAGCAGAAAACGTACTGAACACGAAGCAGAGCACGATGCCTGCAGAGCGGTGCTTGCCAAGCCACCCTCCTAAGAAACCCTCCCTCTGGCGGGAAGGCTCTCGACGTCAATTAGGTGAACAGAGACTGCAGAGGTGAGCAGGCCGGGAGGCTCCACAGCACAAAGCTCGGGGTTAGGGCAGGAGCCAGACTGCACAGGAACCGGGCTACTGCTGTTCTCTGGTTTATTTTTGAGGGCAACGCAATCTACTTGCTCCCAGAGAATCAGAAATACACAAAAATAATTAGCATTAATTGGCTGCCACCCTCCCCTGTTCAACAGAGCTCCAACTGCAATCGCTGAGAGCTTCCCCCGAACACAGGTCCGTCTGGGCTCCTCAAAGGTGCCGTCTTGCCCACTGAAAACCCAACAGTCTCTCGTTTCCAGCACAAAACTTCCTTTCAGGTGAGCTGGAGCTCAGTAAACTGAACATTGTCATTGAAAAAAAAGGTTTTTTTAAAGGATTAAGATATATCTCTAGTTTTGTATTTTACACCTCAGAGTTTCAACTTTCTTTTTTTTTTAATAACCACCGGTCCCTCTGCAAATCATGAGTCTGAGGAGCTGTCAACAATATGCTGGAAGTGTTTATGGCAGCAGATTATCTACACTGGGCTCCTACTCTGGAGAGCCTGGGTGCACTTCCATCACCACTAATCCCACCTATCTTTTGAGGATAACCCACTTCAGAGCAAAAGGAACTGCTCATTTAGGAGGACTCCTACAGCAAATGCTCTGAAGTTAAAATTATTAAAATTTTAATCTTTGCACCTCTCCTAAACTAATGCAATTGATTGTTTATCAGCATCGCAGTGACCGGTTGTCATTTATATGCACTTCTTTCTGACAGGGTATTCGATCCCCTCCCCCGCAGATAAAAGGTATAACTTACCTACAGCAAATGGAAATATAATCTCCCTTAAACTTCAGATCCCCTTTCTAAATCCTTCTCAAACAGATTTTTTGGTACACATCATGATTATTTTTCTCAAAACAATGTAACGAACCAAACAATACAACAGCCAAAGGTGAAATGCTGTAGAATCAGGAAGGCACTAGCGAGACTATTATTAAAAATAATAGTTGCTGTAAGCCTCTTATAG